TGAGCGTGTGCCTTACAATAGCCGTTCTTCTCATGAATGTATGTTGATGAGAGCTTCCTCCTATCCCAGAGACGCCTTTCTAACTTAGTTGATACAGCTTGGGTTCGTGATACCGTTGGCAGCTCAGCCGCAGCAGTGTTATAACACCATAACGCCCCATAACATGCATACCAACCCAGTGTGCGGTGCTTCTGGTGCCTTCTTGATCCTTGGAGGCTGGGCCGGGGTGATGTGGGTGTTCCTCCGGTCGCTGTCACTTCACCTGCAGATTTGCTGGCAGGTTCTTGTTGGACGCAACTTTATGATATTCTCCCAAGCAGCTGGCTGGGGAGTGCCAATCATCGGTGTCATTCTTGCCATCCTCTTTAGCGGACTGTCCTTCCGCTTTGGCGCCACCTGCCATATCAATCACAAGAACAGTCTCGCAGATTTCTGGATCCCCTTGCTTGCTTTCGCAGGCTTAACTGTCATTATCACCTTTGTAACCTTTGGGTACTGTATCAAGGTTTACCTCGCATCTCTTTCGGACCATAGCGAGTCGACTGAAGGTTCCGGCCTGCCGACTCTGGCTTCTATCTCGAACAGCATGAGCCCCAGGCAAGCGTACCGCCGTGTCAGGCGCGTCATCGGGCTGCAGTGGCGAGGAATTGCTATCGTTTTGATCATCATCGCTGATGTCATTTTCTTTTCTGTCATCTTTGTTTTCCAGGACAATGTTGTCCAGTCCGTAACCACGGACCCCACAATCGCCGAGGATTGGTCTCTTTGCCTTATCGCTAACAAGGGCGACAAGAACGCGTGCTTGAGCGAGGCAGGCCACTTGGTTGTCAATGAAGCCACCGTCACAGCCGTCCTGCTGCTACTTGCGGTAAGTTTTCCTGGTTGGATCCACCTTGTGTAAACGTTTGACTAACTCTATAAAACCAGCTCAATGGCGTATGGTTGTTGTTCCTTCTTGGCCGCTGGTCCATGATGGTGGGATGGTATGAACTTTTGGGGTTGCCTAAGCGCGCCAAGAACGAGTTCGTTTCTGCTGATGCCCGGTATGAAGACCGTAAAGAAATACGTTCGTACGAGATGCTCTCAAAGGATAGGAGTCTTGAAGTAACAGCGATGTCTCCAGTGACTTCCCCGCCACCCGTGGGCCAGAGATATACCCCGGATTATTTCCCCGAGACGGCACGATATAACTATAACGCCCCGATGCAGTCTTTCTCGAACCCTCGCCCCCCTAGCCGGCCACCCTGGGATCCGAGCACGTCATACGCAAACCCGAATGACTTCGACGGTATCAACCCCCTGCGGATGAACAGTATTCGGGAATCTCGTCGTTGAGCAACGACCTGATATTGCTGAAAGAGCTGGATACTCTTTTTCAGCAAGTGAAGGATTATAATGAACATAACGATACCCCGATAATCTGGAAGTGGCGCCGTGACGAACGACAGGGCTATCCTCATCTTCGCAATCAAGGGGAAAGGGGAAAAACACAGGGCCGCCTCATGGCACTGCCGGGAATATCGCGGCGGCCCGAGGATTCTTTCATACCGTTGGAAAATACGGGAACCCACTCAGACATTTCACCAAGCCGGACAAGGCTGTCACTATGTCTAGGCCGCATCGTCGCAATGTTGCAGCGAGTTTCTGGCCCCTGCGCACATAAAACACGCAGATTAGTGATGTTGCGGTCAAGGGTTAAGAATTTAGAAACGTTGACCTCGAATGATGCGCTTGGCGTTATCCGAGTGTCCCGCACATTTGAAAGGCGTCTGCCTTTTTGGGATTATACAACGATCCATGCAAGGTTAAGCCCCTCAAGCTTTTTTTCCTTTTTAGATGATTGGTGGTGAACACGGAAGCAGCGGAAAGATTATCTCATAGACCTGGAAACTTGGTAGAGCAGGGATCTCAATCAGTAAAAAAAAAACAATTACATAGAACTTTGAGTGACCGTAACTTCTCGCTTGCCAAGTCCCATGTGAATAGTTGCCCGATATCTATCTCACGCCTTTTATGTATGAACTGATAGGCAAACCCTCCTGGAGGTACATATCTCCGAGTGCAAAACAAGCCATTTTTCTTCGAGGGCAGGAGATAAAAAGAGAAGAGGCACAGACAATATCAAAAGCCGGAATCTACGCCGAACCCGAGAGCGACGACATGGCGTCACCGACGTAATGCCGGATGTCCCAATATGCCAGTCTGTCACACGACATCCAGGTGGGTTGGGATCTGCGAGATTCCAAATCTGATTTTTTTGGGATGGCAGACATGCGCAAACCCTGTGAGTGAGACTGTGACTGGTGGGTGTCTACCCGCTGTTCCCATTAATCTTAACCAAAGCTTTATTCCAAGTCGAACCTCTCGGCAGCTTCGGAAGGCAAGCTCGGGGCGCGAAAAACGAAACATCCAAGTGTGCGAGCACGAAGACGAGAGGAGCAGAGGCCAGTGACCCGATTTTTTTGGTAATCATGCTGCCTGACCCGGGTGATGCGGACACCTCAGTTTCCCGAGCGTGCGTGTCAGAGAAAGGCCAGCGATGCATTGACGAGGCTCAGTTGTAGGACTTAAAAGATCGCCCTTGCCCCCAGGTGGTACCACTACGTAGAGTAAATGTCACAGTTTACAATATCCGCTTCTATTGTGAACTTTTATTGCCTGCTTCACGGAATTCGTGGAACTACCTAGGTACTCATTTTTGAGGTTTCCACTGCAGTTTGGTGTCCAAGTTGGGCATCATCCAAGGTTGTGTCCCACAGCAACGTCAGCCCTGTGGCAGTATACCTTTATACGCCCGGAGTACCAAGCCCGAAGCCGGTCGCTTTATGACGGCGCGAAACATCGAGAACAGCCAATATTCTGACCGTGGTTGAAAGGAAAAAGACACAAGCGTACATTAGGGCCTTTGTGGTCAGATGTTGTAATAGCGGGTGAGATTGATCTTTGGCACACAACACCCACCACCCCTGTTACAACATGGCCACCGGTGGAGTCCAGCGCGTTGGCGGGCAGGTCGCGGCGTGGTTCAGAAGGGTTACTGGCCAAGCTAGCGGCCGCATCCAGCTAACCGACACGCTGCCTGGTGGCTTCTCACCATCGCACGATGGCGCAGAACCATATCCTCTTAAACAACGTCGTCGACGGTTTCGGTGTAACCCGCGAAGCCTCCTGTCCTCTCGCTTCGCCATGATTATCCTCCTCATTGTCTCGTTGATGCTGGCCGGCCTGATCTACTTCTGGCACTCGGAGGGCCCGTATCAGATCCCGTGGTTCCCTGACAAGGACAGCCGGGAGTTCGCCCAGCATCCCATCCCCCCCGCGAAAGAGCACACCAAGATTGCAAACTACGAGCTGCCCCTCAGCACCAAAGGACGCAACATTGTCGACGCCCGCGGACGCCGCTTCAAGCTGTCGTCGGTGAATTGGTACGGTGCCAGCGATGAGCTCTTCGTCACTGGCGGCCTCGACGTCGTGCACCGCAGCGTCATCGCCGAGTCGATCAAGAAGCTGGGATTCAACAGCGTGCGACTCCCATATGCCGACGAGTTGGTGTACAAGAACCCCATAGTCGAAGACAGGCTGCTTACTGCTAACCCGGATCTCATTGGGCTTCGCGCGCTGGATATCCTTGAAGCCGTCACGAACGCTCTCACCGATGCCGGGATTGTCGTCATCATGAACAACCACATCACCACTGCGGTGTGGTGCTGTGGCGCCGACCCCTGCGACTCTGGATGGGCGAACGACCATCTGGGCCCCATATGCCGAGTGAAACAGACAGAAGAGCAATGGATAGAGAATTGGGAGACCGTCATGAGGCCACACGTGAAGAATCCTCTGGTCATTGGCGCTGATCTACGAAACGAAGTCCGAGGTCTCTGGGGAACAATGCCCTGGAACAAGTGGGCGACTGCCGCCGAGAAGGCCGGCAATCGCCTGCTGAAGATGAACCCGGAGTGGTTGATCTTCGTCGAAGGAACCGAGTCGGCCAACGACCTCTCGGGCGCCCGAACACGACCCGTCATACTGGACGTGGAGAACAAGCTTGTCTACTCTGCGCACATCTACGCGTGGTCTGGCTGGGGGAGCACGGAGGGTAGATTCCTCCAGCGAACCTACGAATCTTTCGTCCGAACGATGCGCCACAACTGGTCCTACCTCCTGGAGCAAGACATTGCGCCCGTCTGGATTGGCGAGATTGGGGCGCCGCGCTACCCCAATCTCGGGGATGCCCATTACTGGCACAACATGATGAAGTATCTGAAGAAGGTCGACGCTGATTTTGGATACTGGGCTCTGAATCCACGCAAGCCGAAGGGTGATATTCATGAGGGATACTCGGTGCTGGAGGATGACTGGGTAACCCCCATCGTGGATTACCGGATGAAGGACATGACTGAACTTATCAATCAGTGAAAAATCCTAGAACGGATTTTCACAAGAGATGAAACTGATGTGGCGTTTTGATTTGGGAATATGTACATTTTAGTTTGCTATGATTGGGAGCTCTCTAACAGAATAGCTGCCTCCCTAAACTCAAGTAGGTACCGTACTTAGGTTTAGGGTTTAAATACCATGATTTTTGTTTCTTGAATAATTCCATTGTCCCCATGTCTAGCTCCAGCTCCAGTTCCCAATTTGATGTCTAGTAGTGCATCACGTTGCGTACTTACTGAGGTAGCTCCCAGGTGTGCAGCCATGGAGCTACCCTGGGCGGGCGCTAATGCAATTGGATGGTGCAACTCACCCAGCCGAGAGCTCCCCCCGCCAAGTGTTCCGAACAGCTTATCGATAACTTTATTAACCGCCTTCAACTCAGACCCCTCGCCACCTTTTGTGCACAATGCCAGCCTTCCCACTCAACACTTCAACACAGCTTGCCCACTGCCTACACTCTGCATACGACACCAGCTCCAGCTTTTTAAACACATCCGATGTTTCTGGGCTCCTAGCGTATTGCGCCGCACGCAACCTGGCGGCGCCATAAACCGCTGTCTCACATGGAGAGCCCGTCTCCCAAAGTCACACCTGCTAGGAAGTTCAAGCCAATAGCGGTTGGAAAATGCCACGTCCAGACCGCAACGGATCGTGTAGGCCTATGCCCCTAGAATATTGATAATTTTACAGCACGAAAGAAGACATGCTGATGTTGGAGGGGATGCAGTTCGGTCCCGGCGCCGAGGGCGCGATACGAGATCGAGAGCGGCTGGCTCAGGATATGTCCCACGAGGGTAATGAGATGCCGTTTCTCTGGCCGAGCGGGAGTGGTGATGAAAAGGACGAAGACGAGCAGGTCGATGCTGCCAGCAGATCCATCTACAGATCGGTCCCGTCCATGCAGTCGAACCGGAATACCCTGACTGCCCTCTCGCAACTTTACAATGTACATATCTGACGCCCCCTAGAACCTGTCCCTGAACTGGTTGCTGACGGCAGTAGCTATACTTCGTAGCGTATCAAGGCTGTATCTTCGTGTACAGATTAAGGAGCGGTGCCAAGCACGCTCTCCCCCGGCATCCCGATCTGCAGCTCAAGCCCCCCGCGAGCGATCAGGCTCGGGCGGTCGGAGGAGTCCTCGACCCAAGTTGCGGGCACGCCATCAACCACATAATTACGGGGCATCTTGGCCACGAAGAGATTGTCCTCGCAGCGCATGATGATGGAGATGTGACTGCTTACAAGACGAAGGACGTCGCAGACTACGTTCTAGCCGCGAAGCAAGCCGCTGAATCTACAACTCCTGTGAAAGACTCCCAGTCCGCGCCGAATCACGGCAAGAGACCCCGCCCAAGACAATTCTTTCACGAGAATGTCGGAAAATCTGCCTGGGGACTGGCCATCCATCAACAGTCTCGACTGATTGCAATCAGCTCCAACCGCTGGGAGGTAACTGTATTCGCATTCGCGCTATACGACGGCACCTCTGGACAGCGTCCGGCCTCTGCGTCGGATGAGCGACGTGATGATGTTGAAGCTTGGGTCCGCCAGCGACAGCGTACGTGGAGGATTGTTATACTGCTGGGCCGGGAAGTAGATAACTTGCCAAATGTCTGTTTCCTCAACGATAAGGAAGGGAATGCCGAGAAGGTCTGCGCAATCGATATCAATGGTTCGATATGGATTGCAGACATATGGAAACCGCTTCAACCGGCATACCAAATCCCCCCATTTGATGGGCAGGACATCATCAGCGACGAGTTTTATCCTTCAGTCTCGAGGTGAGTGCGACAGGACACGGCCCTCCCGAACACAAGCATACAAGCATACTGACCAAATCTTCTCCACAGAGGCTGGGGAGTTCTTGCATTCACTGACAACTGCTACATGGAGGTGAAGAGTGTGGAGGAACTCATTGGGTTCCCCGAACATGACTGTACTATCAAGCCATCCCGGCACTCGTTGGCTCAGCCTCTGGCCAGGATACAGCCAGTTCTTGAAACCATTCCTGAGAATCCTTGCCGGCCATCCGATACAGACAGGTCTGTATTGAGGCGGGCGTTGCTTGAGCATCTTAATCATCCTGTCGCTGAGGCCATGGCCAATGCACAGGAGAATTTCCTTTCTGTGCTTGTTGACGGGAATGGTGGTGAAGATGAAGATGATGATGTGTATGACGAGGACGAAGATGAGGACGAGAGTGAGGATGAGGATGAGGATGAAGATGAAGAGGATGAAGATGGCGACGATGGTGATGACGACTTTGACGACGGTAATTCCGGAATTCTGGGTAGTGAGGCAGTAGCAGCAGGCCCTGGGGGCTCCATGCTTACGCCCACCGCGGATGTCGTGAGCGTCATACCTTTACAGGAGGTGTTCCAGGACCTCGAGCAGCTGCCAGGAGGACCGCCTGGTCCCCCCGCCATGTCGCTTGCATCGCATCCGCCGAGCGGATCAGCACCCCCGCAGCATATCATGGCCCAGTTCCAACAGCAAGCGTGGCCTTTCGAGGCCACATTTCAGGATCTAAGCGACGCGTTGGGAGAATTAGAAGACGCATTTGGCGAGCTCGAAGATGCTCTGCCCCATTTCGGCTCCGCTTTCTCACAGTTGCAAGTGGTTTGGGCCCAGCCCAATTCTGTATTGAAATGTCCCGGACACGGGTGTGGTTGTGCGTCTGAAAACAGGATTCCAGAGCCAAGCCCACTGATCCTGGATCGACTGTTGCAAATGGTATACTACCCGGATACCGGGGAGGTGGCGCCAGCACCTATGGATAGATCTTCGCGGATTCTGTTTGCCAAATCGTCCAAGATGGGCTATAACATAAACCGCGAGCCGCCGAATGCTGCTTTTGAACGGTTAGCACCAGGATATCGCATCCTGCGAGCATACGAAAAGGATTTCGAGTTGTGGGAGCTCCCGCGGCGAGGGGCAGAGCCGCGGAAAGATATCGGCATGTTTTGTGGCAATGCTCTCGAGTTTCAACGTTTCCGGGATCCGCTCACCTCGTGGAGTTTCCGGGCAACAAGCAGACTCAGTCTGCTGGCACATGTCCCCGAGTTGTCCATAGTTGTTCTCGGATCGCCAACGGGACGCGTGCTGGTCGCATCGTTGACTCGACTGAGCTCCAAGGAGAACGATTTTAAGGGACGAGGGACGTGGAGACGCGGAATCAGGGTGGAATGGGTTCTTCCCAATAAAACAGAAGAAAAAAACCATCGGACAACCATGCGAGCCCTCCACGGGATGGCAATCGGCCGCATACCCGACGATGGCGATCAAAATGGTGAGCAGGCTGGAAGAGGGGCATTGCTCCCGCGACGATATCGGCTGATGCTGCACTACCAAAACCACGACATCTTTTCTTACGAGGTTACGAGAAACGAGGAAACGGGCAAGATCTGTCTGTTCTGATAATGTATTTTTGGCTTATGATTCTTACGGTCCTTGATTTTGGCCCTTTTTTTTTCTGCCTGTGTGTTTCTGCTTTCTCTGTCTTCGTTCTTTCTCCTTCCCTTCTTGCCTAGGTGGGAAACCAGCGAGCTCATCTCTGGCTTCATCCATACCCTGGCTCAGCAGGGCTGTTTTATCTCTGCTCAATTTTACTCGTTCATCTATTAGCAAGGTGGATGAGCCTTGAAATGCTTGAGATGAGTTACGAAAGCGAGGTCAGTGCTCAATCTTTTCGATTTGCTTTTGGTTTTCTGTTTGTCAACACTGGATGTTTCACTTCGGGAATGGCGTGAGATGGATATAATGGATAGGTGGAATTAAAACAATTTGTTCTAGGAATAGCTCAGGAGGCAAGTGAGGCTGCAGATGAGGTCCCTCTATTGGCAGCTTGGTATTACGGGTTGCCAGAGGGAACCGCGGCAGTGTGAAATAGGCATTGTTTGAGATAAGCTCAATACAAAGGAGGTGAAGCATCCGTTTAGAGCCAAGTGTCACGTCATTAAACGTCTGCTGTCGCGTGGAAGCAAATTGCCAAGGCATCGGCCAGCTGTGCTGGGGAGCTGAAAGGGCCAGCGGACGCGCCATGACTCGACCGATAAAGTGACGTGAGGGCAGCAAGCAGATACCAGGCTTGCAGATTCACAGTACATAATCGGCACTGGCGATATGAGGTAATGGAGACTGTAAGTACCTGGCAGCGGAAACTAGTATGGCGCGGTACCTGGATTGGGCACGGGGGGCTTCTGGGGTAATGGAAGCGGAAATCACTGCAGTCATGCAGGCCCGAGGCTATGGGATGGATGCGATCGGATGCCGAGACGGGTCAGACGAAAAAAGGGCGCCAGGGTCCCGGGCAGTGGCAGTTTTCTATCTTTACATAAGGTTTCGAAGGCGATGATGAAATGAATTGCAATCAGGTGGAAGCTCTGACGAGATGCAGTGCCGTAAGCTTAACAGGGGCGCGTGGGCGGTGATTGGGCGGGGGCCCTTTCGCGGATTAATGGGTCGTGGTAATGGAAACGACTCGGGCCTCTCACACCCTCTCACACCCTCTCACACGACAGAAGCCACGGCTGCGGCCCTCTCCCCAACTTTGCCCTGCGGCTCCACCTGGCCTGGTCTCCCCGATTTAGGTTGCTTTACGTTGCCGAATTGATCAGGCCCGTATCCGCCAATCACGGTCCCCGTTCTGTTATCTCCATTTTCAACGCTGGCGACCTGGGGGCAGCGTCCGACCGAGGGCTTAGCTGGACGGCCATGACACGACGAGTTGACGTGATGGATTTGGCTAATTGATTTGCCTTGTCCCAGGCACGGGGCGTCGAGCGGTTCGACATGGCAGCTGGACCAAGTTGCAGAGCCTGACTGGCTGGTCTCGCCCAGGAGGCTGTCATGCCGTATCGTATCTCGCTATCATCAGCTCTGCCATCACCACCACCACCTCAGCTGCATTGGCATTGATATGGGATGTGATAACAATAAAAAAAAAGTGAAAAACAGAGGACCTGGGGTCGTTAAGGTGAGAGCAAGGTGGGGATTGGGGGAACGGGTGTAAGGGGAGGGAGGGAGTGAATGTTCCCTTGCTCTGATATCTCGACTAAAGCCACACCCCCATAAGATGGCAAAACGCCACATAGATTTGCTCGACGACTCCAATTCGACAGATCTAGGTTTTACTGGTTTTATGCATGTCCAGACTGAGCTGGAACCCCAAGACAAGGGGAAATAAGGAAACAAGGAGGCAGCCCGTGTCAGCCCTCTGTGTGGCCCAAAGCCCAAGATCAATATCCAAGCCTCGTTGATTGTATTGGGGACGTGGACCAATGCAAGGCCATGGATTTGCCAGATAACAGGTCGCTTACATGTCTCACTCACATCGCCTCTTGACTTTTTCTCCCTTCCCACCCCACGTCGTCCGGGTTTGCCTGCGATGAGGGCAAGAAGATCGAGGCAATCCACGCTCCCAGCTAGCTGGAGACTCTCTTTTCTGGGGCCCCCTGGTTCCGTTGCCTCTGGGCCAGGCAAAGATCACTGATTCCAATGTCAATTCGTTCTGTAATCGAAAAGATGCCCAACCGGACTAAGAGGGTCCTTACGGAGGCTAGAGAATGGAGTGGTGGGACCGGCCTCAAGCCCAAGTATCAGACTCTTCCACCAGAATGCCAATTACATACAGACAGACGGGCAGATTATACATCGATTCTACGCACCAGCAGCCAGACCAAGCCCCGACCAGCGGCGCCCCCGTACTTTTCCCAGGGTGGATGGGATGGGCCCCGTTCCCCATTTGATCTCCCAGACCAGACCCAGCAGTCAGTCAGGGATCTGCAGGGCTTCTTATCAAGATAGCCGTTTGTTGCATAGTTTCTATGAGTACACTTAATGGCAAGTGTGATTGATACACATGGGAGGCCATGGCTTGGGGGGAAGGGGAGGGGGGGCCGGCGTACCTGGTCTCCAGTCAAGATATATTTATTAAGTCGCCGCCTCCGCTCTCCTCGTTCCATCTCTCCATCTGGAGTATCCGTCGTTGCATTGCATTGTATGGTATTTGGGTAGCTTACTTGACAAAACTCATCCATCTCGTATGATTCGACAGGCACAAGCAACTCTTCAATAAGCAGTGTCATAAACTTTCTTCCTTCATCTTGTTGTCCGGGGCCTGCTCACAATATCCACCATGTCTTATTCAACAACCGGGCCTCCTACCGTGTTCAATGGAACAGATGAGGAACTGGGTGGTGACTCCAGTAAGTCTAGGGAGCGAACCAGCTCGTCTGCCATGCTAGGATCCATCTCTGACAGTGCCTCTTTCTTGATTTATAGCCACCGAGAACCTCAACCAATGGTACCAGTCCGGTGACCAGGCTTACATCCTCCTCAGTGCCGCCCTGGTGATGCTGATGATCCCCGGCATCGCCTTCCTCTACTCCGGCCTCGCCCGCAGAAAGTCCGCCCTCTCCATGCTCTGGGTGGTCATGATGTCCTTCAGCGTCATCGTCTTCCAGTGGTACTTCTGGGGCTACTCCCTGGCCTTCAGCTCGACCTCGAACAACCCCTTCATCGGCGACCTCCACAACTTCGGCCTCATGAGGGTCTGGGGCGCCCCCTCCCAGGGCTCCCCCCTCGTCCCCGCCCTCCTCTACTCCTTCTACCAGATGATGTTCTGCGGCGTCACCGCCGCCCTCACCATCGGGGCCGTCGCCGAGCGCGGCCGCGTCATCCCCGCCATGGTCTTCATCTTCTGCTGGGCCACCGTCGTCTACTGCCCCCTCGCCTACTGGGTCTGGAACGCCAACGGCTGGGGCTTCACCCACGGCGTCCTCGACTACGCCGGCGGCGTCCCCGTCGAGATCGGCTCCGGCATGTCCGCCTTCGCCTACTCCTGGGTCCTCGGCCGCCGCAACGAGAAGATGATGATGAACTTCCGCCCCCACAACATCTCCCTCATCACCCTCGGCACCATCTTGCTGTTCTTCGGGTGGCTGGGCTTCAACGGCGGCTCTGCCTTTGGCGCCAACATGCGTGCCGCCATGGCCTGCTGGAACTCGTGCCTGACTGGAATGTTCGCCGCTGCCACCTGGTGTCTCCTTGATTACCGCCTCGCCAAGAAGTGGTCCATGGTCGGCTGGTGCTCCGGTGCCATCTCTGGCCTCGTCGCTGCCACTCCCGCCTCTGGTTTCATCGACCCCTGGGCCAGCATCATCCTCGGTGTTGTTGCTGGTGTCTGCTGCAACTTTGGCACAAAGAGTGAGTCCCAACGATCATGTCAGTCCCCAAATTTGGGATTTCAAACGCTAACAAAATCACAGTCAAGTTCCTTGTCGGCATTGACGACTCCCTCGACGTCTTCGCCGAGCACGGCATCGGTGGAATCGTCGGCCTTCTCTTCAACGCCTTCTTCGCCAGCGGCGGCATCATCGGCCTCGACGGCGTCAACACCGGAGCCTCGGGCGGCTTCCTCGACAAGAACTTCGTCTCCATCGGCTGGCAGATCGCCGCCATCGTCTCCTCGTGCGCCTACGCCTTCGTCGTCTCCGCCATCCTCGCCAAGGGCATCGACCTCATCCCCGGGCTGAAGCTCCGCGCCTCCGAGGAGGCCGAGCTCCTCGGCATGGACGACGACCAGCACGGCGAGTTCTCCTACGACTACGTCGAGGTCCGCCGCGACTTCCTCGCCTGGAGCCCTGCCCGCGACGATCCCGCCCCCGAGGGCCACGGCATCGAGCCCACCCACGGCATCCAGCAGCACGCCAACATGACCAGTACGCCCCCCAGCTCCGCCGGCGGCGACAAGAAGGACGCCGAGCCCGTGGCTGTCGATGCTACCAATGCCTCTTCCGAGAATGAGAAGCAGAACTAAGGAAAAAACGGGTTGGCTTCACCCGAATTGGACTCCACTATTCTAGACTGTCACACCATGCGAGTTTGCGATTATCACTTGGGAGCTTCATATCAAACTCTCCCTGTCTTTCTGTTCATTTGAAAGCCCATTTTCCATTTATTCTCTTTTTTAAAAATCAACACGTTTTTCTCGGATACAGAAAAAAAGGTGTTGGGGCCAGCGGGTGCTAGGAGTTTTACGGGTGCTACTCATCAATATGATGCATGGCAATTATTTTCATTTTTATCTTTATTTTTCCCGGGACAGCTGTGTTGAAAGGAATGAATACCCGCAGGATCGGATTTCTGCTGTACGCTAGATCGCTTACTATCGTTTACTGCCTGCACTGATCAAACTGGAGTGGAAGGGACTCAGTTCTGCAGGCTTATATATCAAACAAGCACATAATAGACCAAATATGATTGAAAAACCAATTCTCCTTACGTACAAACATTGATAAACACGTGTGAAATGACCATTCTCACGTGCCTTTGTGGGTTATCTTTGCTGCATAACAGTACCGGGGGGGATGACATTGAAGAAGGTTTCGCTAGTCCATGCTGAACTCTCCTGGAGC